GAATTTGAAACATATTTCCAAAAGAAAACCAATTAGAGCTTTATCAAGAAGCTGTAACATGTCTCTGGAACAGACATAAGGCAAAATAATCACTAAGTAAAGGCGTAACAAAATGTCTCAATATGGCAGAAGAAAAAAAAAATCCCGTGTCCAGGTTTTTTTTTTGCCATGCATTGGTCATAGAGCTCTTTGTGGCGTTGCCTCAGATGTTGAAGATTTGTTGCGCCAAGTTCACACGTACTCGTCTGCAGTGCGTATACAGTATGTGTATGCGGTGCAGAAGCAGCACAGACTCATTTTGCTTTCGCACGGGACGCGTTTGCAGTCTGCTCCTGATCCGCGGCTGTTTACCACAAACACAACATTTGACCATTATTTTGATTTCAAATCCAAACGTTGTTTCTGAAAATGCTTTTTCAGCATTGTGATTCTCTTTTATCACAGTACAGTAATACAATCTTTCATAGACATATTCACGTTTAAACTCAATAAATATAACTTTGTTTAACTACCACCATGAGTGCCATCTATTATTGCCTTGTTTATCTAAAAGTGCACTTTTCCTTGTTTTAAATCTAGCCAAAAAGCCATGTGTTGACTGTGAAACAGTAGACTTTAATTATAAGCATTTATGATGTAATTACAAAATTTCTGTGTCAATCCATATAAATTTTTTACCGCGAATAATGCGCTGTCACTTTCAGCGCGTGCAGCACAGCAGAAATAGACTCCGTGCGGAAACGATCGCAGCATGACTGCTGCAGACGCACCGCTCCTGGAGCGCATTGCCAGACCGCAATCGTGTGCAGTGGGAACGCTCTGATCCGTTAACATGGGCGCGGACAAAATACGCACCACAGACTGAGTGTGTGAACCTGGCGTTACGTTTGTATGCCCGCCCGGTCTGGGCTGTTCTTGTGCTCCATTTAGGCGCACTGCATTCTGATTGGTTCGGATAGCATACTGCGGGGAGGTCAGAGGGTGTGGAAAATCATGCTATAAAGCGATTTAGAAATCGCGCAAGCTCAAATCGTGATTTAATGCCGATTTCGATTAATCGCACAGCCCTATATTATATATATATATATATATATATATAAAAATAAAATAAAAAAATAGTAAGCACTATTTATAACAAGACATTTATCATATCCTGTCTTCAGTTTACTAAAATCAATTCTTTAAGATGTTGAATTTTATTTTTACTATTAAGCACTTTTCTTTCATTTTTCCAAAGGTGGCGACAGACAAGGTAGCAGGCAAGCTGAGTTCAACTCTTTCATGGGTGAAGAACTCAGTGTCGCTTACGGTGAGTCAGATGGCTAGTCAGGTGGCCACGCCCTCTTCGCTGCACACCACTGTAGCTTCATCCACTGCCTCACTGTCCTCGCCCTCCTCAGCCTCCCCGACCCAGCTCAGCCCAGATGATGTGGAGCTGTTGGCCAAACTAGAGGAGCAGAACAGGTATGTGTGCTTCACTGAATGTCATCTGGAGGTTTTGCTTCAAGTCTTCATCTTTCAGTGTTTGCAAAAAACATTGAGAATATCACTATATATTGTTGCAACACCGCCACCACGACCAGTCTGACGGGGCTCATGCTTATAATAGTAGCTTGGTGGAGTAGACTCATTTAGACCAATATAATCATTAGGTTTTAGCCGGGTTTCAGTTAAGCAGAGTACATCAAAACACTGAATCAGTTATCCCATTCCAAGAAGTATTTTGGGAGCACCATTTGGTCACATTGCCAGTGCATATTGGGTGTTACACCATCTATGTTGCAGACGAGGGGCATATGCAAATAAAAAATGTTTTTCTGTTAATTGTCATGTTTTAAATTATCTTTTTTGTTTAATTATTACTCTCCTACTTCCTTTTACTGCTTAAATTATGAATCTTTGATTTGATTTAAGGTCATTTTAGATGAACGCAATAACTTTCTTTATTGCATTTATAGGTTTAAGCATTCATTTATGCTGAAAAGTAGGAAGTTGTAAAAATATAAATGCTTTTTTTTTTAAGGAAATGCTTTTGTTGTTTGTGGACTTATAATTGGCCTTCAGACTTAGACTTTTCTTTTAAAGTTTGTCCATCTTTGTGTTGAGGAGCTCTAGTCTTGTCTAGCAACTAACGATTATTTTGATAATCGATTAGTTGGCCGATTATTTTTCAGATTAATCGGATGAAAAGCCTCTTTTTTTTAAATTGCTAAAACACACTATTCCACATCCTGCCCATTGCTGTCCTTCAAACAAACATGCCAACTGAATGCTATGAAAACATACTGTATGGTGAATATATCTCTGTTATTTGTGTAAAACAGTTATAAAGCAGAGTTTAAATGGACTGTTTAATCAGACAAATGGACAAAGGACAGTTTAATTCCCTATATTAAAAATGATGAATAATGAAGATGGTAAAGAGAAACACTGTCCCTGTTCTGCAGGGACACACACGTTCACTCTGAACAATTTCTTTATTCTGTAAATGTAAGAAACGTCTTAGATTTATATTAAACCCAGGGCTCCAGACTGCGACCAAATAGTCGCATTTTGCAACCATTTTTCCTGCTGGTGCGACTGCAAAATTTTAATATAATTCTATTTAAAGTTAATGCACAGGCGATTTTGTTAACTGCGCATCCAGTCAGTCTCTGTTTTCGCTTCCCCTCCCCCGCTTTTCTATCATCCTCTCAGGTATACCCACTCACTCAGCCTGGTTTATACTTGCCACGTCAGCACGAGCGCTAAGGTACACGCTGCAAAAATTATGCGAATATTGAGGAAACGATGGATAGTTTTCAAGCTAAAGTAAAAGACCGTTAAAAGACCATTAGTTTTTGTTCATAAACGTTTCGTAAGCTAGTTTGTCATTGTATTTTACCGTTTTATTATTTTTGTGCTTTTTAATTAAGAATAACAATGAATCCATCTTTTGTTTTAGTCTTAAAAAGTGAAAGGTGTGTAGATGTATGTAAGCAAAACAGACCATTATCTTTTCTTGTAAAACATGACAACAAGATCGCGAATTCGAAAGTGAAACCACCTGAAGCCCAGATTATAACACAGCAAATGAGGAACTCCCGTCACAAAACTCATATCACAAATAATACTACTGATGAAAAAGAACGGGTTGAATGTTAACCACTTTCGTTTCCATATAACTGTAAACTATAATAAAAGTTCATCAGCATGCATTGATTAATTTTTATTTAAAACAATATTTTAAATAAATATTGTAGCGCAAAAATATAAATATTGCGACCAAGTCATGTGCTCGTGCCACCAACTGAGAAAGTTAGTCGCAAAAGAGTGACCAGTGGGAAGCATGAGTCTGGAGCCCTGAAATCGCACTCTGTTATCCCTTTACAGTTACTATCATAAAATACTTGAATTACACGTTGACTTTTAAGCCTAAATTTAACATCCAATAACAGATATATCAGCAAAATTACTCTTATTGTGCTGAATATTAATTTTCTCCCTCTTTACTGTGTTCTGTCTGTTTGATGTGCATGTGTGTGTGTCGGCGCTCGTTCAGTGATGTCTGAAGTTTAACGCAGACTGTCAGGACAAGTCTTCATGCAAAATAGAAACATTCACTTGAAAATGTAACATTTACAGAAAAGGATATTACCGTAAAATGCAGTTTATGCGCTGAGGAAGCATATCTCTCACATTAAACGGCACATGCATCCGTCAAAGCGCCTGACAGGACTAGCCATGTTAAACATTACGCATTAGCTTGAAGTTTAAAATAAAGCATTCTCATGTTTCTGGCAGCTTGGATCATGCATTTTTCCTGCAACACCTCACTCTGTTTCATCCGCTGTTTTTAGATGCATTTCGTCCATAGAAATGCATAATTCACTGCTGTAATTTGACGTGACTGGCGGAAGTTTTCAGTGCGCGGTGGTGGGCATACGCGACTAATCGATAATGACATTAGTTGTCGATTATTTTCATTATCGATTTTAGCGATTAGTTGTTGCAGCCCTAGTCTTGTCCAGCTTCTCTTCTGGTGTGGTCCAAATTTAGCCTGCTCTCTAGTACAAACAGTGATATGTCAAGAGCACTGACATGATGTTAACACAGTAAAGCCTTTGCTGGGGTGGCTGTTTTGTGTTCTCAGACAAGTGATGGCACCGTACTTTTCCAAATATAGAACCAGCAAGAGATGAGGGTCTGTGGAGCTGTCTGTCTATCAGTTTCAGTTCTCCTGTAATCTACAACGTCTTCACTTGTTGACATGATAACAAGTGTGAGAGTTGCTCACACATAGTTGTTGGAAATATCATGAACATGGTTGGTGATTTTGCTCCAAATTGTTCATGTGAATGACACTGGTTTAATTCCTGATCCCATTCCTCCTTTGACACTACTGTTCAAAGGTTCGGGGTTGGTTAATAATTTTTTTAGTAAGAAGTCTCTTGCCCACCAAGCCTGTATTTACATATAGTAAAGCATAAATATAATACATAAAATATTATAACATAATATTACAATGTAAAGTAACTGTCCCATGCTAAAATAATGCTAAAATAATGTCCTATGTTAAAAATGTAATTTATTTCTGTGGTGGTAAAGCTGAATTTTCTCTGCAGCGATTTACTCCATTCCTCAATGTCACATGATCCTTCAGTAATCAAATTCTAATGCCAATTTGGTGATAAATACACATTTCTTATTAATAGCAATGTTTAACTGCTTAATATTTTTTGTTAAAATTGACATTTCTTTTCAGGATTCTTTAAATAGAAAGTTTAAAACAACATTTATTTGAAATAGAAATCTTTCGTGTTAAAGGGATAGTTCACCCAAAAATGAAAATTACTAGTGCTGTGTTCAAAATATCGATACAACGATGTATCGTCACAGAGATTTGACGATACGAGTATCGATACATCTGGCCATGTATCGATATTGTGGCACGTGTGCAGCAGTGGACCACGCTTAATTTGTTAAACATTTTAAAACGTTTAAAATTGAGTAGAAAAGTGCGAGGTTTCTAAAATAGAATGAATAGTGCATATATAGGCTACAACCAGGTTTAATCTGGCCGCAGAGGAACACAACTGGGTTGCCTGATATAAAGAGACGTAATCCCCGAAACAGAGCTTCACACTTGCGCAATACGGAAATATCTGCTAAGTGTGCTACTTATCTTTGTCAACCTGGCAACCATGTGCACGCGTGCTCTCTCCACTGTGGATAAACGCGCTTGCTTTCTGAAAACAGCGGTTAGCTTGCAGTTTAGCAATCTCCACTTCAATATTTTAGTCTCAGAAAATTGTGATTCATCAGCTGTTCATTTACGACATAGAGAGAGAGAGGCTGTGTATGTATGAATTACCACCGTTTTGCCACGTTTCTCTATTAACAGTAAAGCTGTGGCTTTAATTCCTTTAGAAACAATGATGCTACCAGCTCCTTGTTGAGAAAGTTAATGTAGCTCTTGAGCGATTAAGCTATTTAGTTGATAAAACTGCGGGGCAGCGCTAAAAAGTTTGTTCCTGAATGTCTGAGTTCGGCCGCAACGTGATCTGTGTGTGTGACTGCACCAAACTGCTTCTGTTTCACACAAATGCTGGCACAGACGTGCATGTTCGGCTAGAGTCGCTTTGAACTAGTGCATCTTCGAAGCGGAGCTGCACGGAAAGTTACAAAAAATTGTGCGCACCGCCACGCCAAACGACGTCGCGCGCACTCAAAGCGAACTTGCGGACGCGTCGAGTATAAATCAGCCT